GCCGAGTTTTCTATACCTGAAGGCTGGAACTGGGAATGCCTGAGCTGGACACATCAGAGTGAGCGGCTGATCGCAGTGAACCGTGTACGTACGCGAATTCTCCGTCATCGGGAACTTTGGTTTCGTGCTGGCCACCGGTTCTACGAGAAAATACCTTCGATACAGACGCGATCGTTCAGTCGAACCTTCGTATCGAACACCGGGACAGGGCAATCGGCGATCACACCTGAGCTCACTCCACCCTTTTCGTCTCTATCCCTTGATTCAAATCGACGGTACATCGTGGATCTACGAGTCTATTCTGCGACGTTATCCCACCTATGCGAAGGAACCGGGAATCCTTGAGCGGGGCACAGCAGTGTCAGAATCTCTTCCACGGTGGAGACGAATCCACGGGAGTTATCCATCGTCGGGAACTTGGGCCGCACGCTCCCCACGGGTTCTGCGAGCAGTCCCGAGGGACAGAAGCGCGTAAGACACGATGGTATCGCGTGAAACTTTCGCGTAGCCGAGAGAACGGAGACAGGGAACCCACCGGGGGAAAGCAGGAGTATACCGAAAGAATCGTTCGTCGAAATAGAGGACAGGAAAAGTGAAACCCCAGCGTCTGCAGCTGTTGCGCCATAATTTATCATTGCGCCTTCGAACACGAATTAACAACGGTTATTTAGCACAACCACTTGTCCTTTGATCTCGACGGGACAAAGATGAGGCGGCCTACAAACTATTCATCGAGAAGCTCTTAGAACCCGACAACCTCGGATCCTCGAGGATTTCACGGCTCGGAAACTTACGGAGAAAGTCCCTACCTATAAGACGGAAGGGGAAATCCTTGTGCGGGGCAGAAAAGCGGCAAGCTTCCGTTCGTCCTCGTCGTCATTCCGATTAAGTTGATCGTACTGGAGAGCTTCGGCCGAGTGCTCGACACGGGCTCTGCGGATCGTGGTCGAAAGCAAAAACAGCGAAATTTTACCACGCTGCGGCGACGTAGATCGCCGGTCCTCGCCAACTTACTTGTGTACCGGGACAGGGAACCCTTGGGCGGCGCACAGCAGCGTCACCGAGCCATCTTTCATCGTGCGGAATCCCCTGGTGTCGTCGATCGTCGGGAATTTCGGTCTCACGCTGCCCACCGGCTCTGAATGTCATCACACTGAGTTCACGCGGCGGGATCTCGCGTCTGATTGCACGAGGGATGGGGAACCCCTGCACGGACTCCAACAGCCGCGAAATAGTACTAACTAGGGGACCGCGGGAAGCGTCGCGTACCCTTTTTACCCTTAACGAAACCAGGACGAAGATGGGTAGAGAAAGGGACGAAGAAAGACTAGGTGAAAGACGTCGAGACTAGGTGACGATTCAAATGGTCAATAGTCGCAGAGCTTGTATCATACATTAGCTATCACAGTTGCGGATGAACAATTCTGTGGCTCAACGCCATTTTGGTTTATTGGCATAGGTCTCTCGAAATGCTGGAATATACCAGGAATTCCAATACTTTTTCTATTTGTTTCTTTCAAATCATCTCGAAATCTGTTTGGTATTTTTCATTCGCGAAAGCTTCGTTTTTTCCGGCTATTTTATATCGCTGAAACCTCTTTCTATGCTGCTTTCTGCACACCTTTTTTTTAATCATCGGTATTCCGATGTTTTGTGTCCTTGTACTGCTTTTTATGGTTGAGAGCCCTTCTCGGTGTCCTTGAACTGCTTTTTTCATAATTGGAATTCCGATTTTTGTGGCCTCGCGCCTCTTTTTATGCTCGAATTCCCCTTTTTCGGCATGCCTCGCTTGCTTTTTTTACCGCTGAAATTCCATCTGCATCGGGCTGGTTGTTTCGCCGTTGCGATTCCACCGAGAATACCATCCGCGTGATGTAAGAAATTGCTTTTCACTACCGAGGACTTTTCTCCGTGGCAATTTCATCACTGACGCGGGGTGACCGTACTACCGGAAGGAAGTCTCCGGGAACGTCCGCAGTAGCTGGATAGTGGAATGGTTTTAGAGAAAGCGACCACTACTGATCACTGACCAGCGGGTGAACCTAGCCCATAGCAAGTACTCGGTCAAAGAGTACGTTTGATAGTACAGGACCACTTCGGACAACCCGACGTCCACTCGTAGGAATTGAATGCACAAGAATCGATTTAAAAGCCCTCGTGAAAAATGCGCGTTCTCACGGCCTTCCTGGGAAAACATCGGACTGAAAACGAGTTTTCCGCGGTACGCTTTTTTACGCTTTTTATTATCAAATTTATAAATAATCGTCTCTGCTCGATATCAAGAGGCGAATTTTAATTTTAATATTTATGGAATATTTTTCTTTCCCCAACCTATCGTCCGAATTTCAAATTGCGCGACGCTTCCCACGATTCACCCCGTTCGACCACCATTTTGCCGCTTTATCTCGAGCAATTAAAGAATTTCGAGTCTTCCCGTGTAACAAAAACCTTGGCAAAATTCCTATCGTACCCCGGAATATTCTGATCCAAGAGCATACCTATAATTTGGCACCGGAAATCCCTGCGCGGGACAGAGGAGAGGCAGTATTCCATTACTAGCGACCGTCAGACCGTTTATGTTGCTCACAGATGGAAATTTCGGCCGGACGCTTGCCACGGGTTCTGCGTCCGAGTGTCCAGAAAAGGTCGGAAAAGGAGACAAAACACGATATCGATCGTGACGAGCGGAAACTTACTTGAAAACCAGGGTAGGGTACCCCTGCGCGGGGCAAAGGAGGGTCACAGAGCCGTCCTTAGTCGTTCGGAAACTCCTGGAGTCGTCGATGGTCGGGAATTTCGGCCTCACGCTGCCAACCGGGTCTGATTATGCAATTAAACAGCAACTTCGCTATCCGAATACCGATATCGGGCAGGTGGATGCGACATTTCGTCCTCTCTTTCTTTTAACTGATTCTCTACCTGTTTAAGGGGACGGGGAACCCCTGTGCAGGGCATATCAGAGCCTGACTTCCGTTCACCGTCGTCCTGAATCCACGTATATCGTCCGTCGAAGGGATCTTTGGACGGACGCTGCCTATTGGTTCTGAAGGACACGCGAACAACCATTCAGAGGATTTTCACTGTCCGTGCATGGAACGGGGAACCCCTGAGGGAAGCAGGGTGGTCCCGAAAGCCACCCTCTCGCTTTCGCGGAAGAAGAAGGAACGACTCGATGTCCGAGGAAACTTCCTAGCCAAAGTCTAGTTCGAGTATTCACGAACATTCCCAACAGCCTACTTTTCTCCCGAGTTTTTCCCAATCTCCCTACGCCTTGCCTACGCAGTCGCAGGTTCCTTTTCTTTCGATCATGCTAGCGCGTGTATCGCGCATCGGTGATCAGAGGTATATCGTACCTAGAAACCGGTACCGGGAATCCTTGGGCAGGGCAGAGGAGCGGTAAATTGCTTTTCGATTCCGTCGAAAGTCCGTTTATGTTGTCCATCGAAGGAAACTTTGGCCGTACGCTCCCCACGGGTTCTGTTTCACAACGAAGACACTATTGACTGTGGAGCCGTTTGCGGCGCGTGGGCCCCCTGCTCGGACCCTTCGTCGTCATTGCGATTCTCGTTGCCGCATCTCTTGGCCATCGTTAGCCTAATTGCGCGGTACTACGCGATTCGGACTCGATGGAATCGCACTCGTATCGACAGGACGATCCATCTGCCATCGTTGACCGACCGCTTCGACGATAGAATAGTTCTGTACCCAACGGAGCTGTACGCGTCTTTGTATGATACTTAAACAATCGGCGCGTGATCCGCATCGTTCGATGCGGACGAGCAAAGATCGAGAACCGTGAAAGCCGACAGCTGCATTGAGCATCACATCTATTCCACGTGTCAGTGGCTAGAGCTTTGCGTTTCGTGTGAAATATTAGAGTGACGTTTGACTTACCACGCGAGAGCGAAGGACAGAGCCCGGAGATCGCGTGAGGGCGCCGCAAAGCGTCGAAAGAATTTTTTCATTTTTCCGTTCAAATTCTATCTTTACTTTTCTTTTCTTTTTTCTTTTTTTTTTTTTTTGCTTTCAATGTTCATCGAAATCGATCATGCCAAGAGTCAAATCATGGGCGGGCGGTGGCGCGTGCCCGCAGGGGTACCCTGTCCCAGCATTCAGGTTCTCCAACTAGCTTGATCTCGCAATTAGACAACGCTATATATCGTCGTCGTTTCTCTCATCTTGGTGCAATTCTTAACCAATAATTTCCTCTTAAACTTACCGACTGTCCAAAGAGAGTTGGTTCGAGTTTACTCGCGTATATACAAAAGTTAATCCGATCAAGCTGGTTGGTTCAAAAGATTACACGTACATAGACGTGGCTACTTCAGCCGAAGGCAATTGATTTTCCGTGATACGTCGGCGTAAAGTGTTACTCGATCGCTTAATTGCGCTACCCGGTTAAGTACTCGATCCGGTTACTCTGTTTCGGGGAAAATCAATTGCCTCGGTAAACAGTTTCGAACCCGGACAAAAGTTTCCCGAAACGGCGCGGTTCGCGCGATAAAAGAGTAGTTAGAGTCCGACCTGCAACACGAATTCGGTATCGCGTATGCGGGAACGATTTACATCGCAAAAGGCTCCTCGTTTACATGCTCGCGTTTATCTCGCGCGGAAACGAATTCCCGAACGACGACGGGTTATATCGTTGGGAACAGAGACAGAGGACGGTTCGAAAAACGTACGAACGGTCGTTTAATTTCGACCGCGAGAGGGAATACGAATTATTCCGCTCCCGAGCGCGCTCGCGTTCATCGCGTCCAGGTTCGAAACTAGAAACACGATTCTGATTTTTGCTCCCGTGGAAAAGGTTCGCGCGTTATTCGAATTTCGCGGTCGTTACGTTGCAAAACGATGAAGAAGAAGGAGGAAAAATAATCAGAACGAATCAGAATCGTGATCTCGATGAAGATGAAAGTGATCGTCTCACGTGAGCTCGTCACTTACCGGTAATGACGAGGCGTCCCTTGGTGGCAGACAGTCTTGTTTCTCCGGTGAGTCTATGCTTGGTGCGGCATTGGTAGGTCTTGTATCCGTCTTCGGGTCCAACATCGCGAATGTGAAGCTCTCCGGAAGGCAGTACCAGGTATTTTCCATCTGTTCCAGTGACCGAGTGGGGAAGAAAATTACACGGATTATTCGCCGGCGTTGATTCGACCGGTGCAACTTTCTAACCAGGGATAATTGACTTATCGGAAAGAACGTTCCGGCCGGTATCGGTTCTATTGGAACAGTTTAATCGAGCTGGAGGAGATTTTACGCCAGCCGTAGTATAAAGTTCATACCGATATGGGTCGAGCAATCAGAAATATTCAATTATCCCGACGACCGCACGATACTCGTCGGCCATCGGCGCACACGTAGCCGGGTGTGCCGACGAGTACAATGCCGTCTTGATTAATACATTGGCCCGCATGCACTCCATTACCTTTTGCTACCTTGGCCAAGTTCGTTGAACGATGAATAGCGACGGACTCTTTATCTATCTCGTGCTTTCGTCGTTCGACGAATCGTTTGGCGATTCAGGCCCGTTCGTCAAACAACGGACGAGGGAATATCGAGTTTGCATTGTTCCCGGCATGCTCGTGAAACGTTCTAAGAACACGATATCGAACACGCTGTCGATCTTTTATCGCTTCTACGATATTCCCTGTAATCCTTTTAATCCGTTCGTCGCGCAAATTGGCTTTTAATCGCGCTCGCGTGACACGAATTGCGAAATTGTTTCGAAAACGAGACGAGAGGGAATGCAACGAAGGGATTAAAAGTTTGGAATCCGAAATGGCGAATTCATTTCGTAACCTCGTGCTACCTTATCTCGCGACGAGTCAACCTCTCTCGTTGCATTATGCTCGATGACTTCCGGTTACAAAATGATCACCGACGAGCGAGCTCGATGCATGCAATCGACTACGACTAAAAGCGACAACAAACACAAGCGTATGTATACGTATACGTATACACGCATATATATATAGTCTACAGCAATAGTCACACAGGGAAAGAAGGGTGGGCGAGAGTGTAAAAGTGGAACCGTGAAGAAGAATTTCGGAAAAGGAAGGAAGTCTGGGACAGCGCGAGCAGCGGCAGTCAACGTCGTACGAACAGTTCAAGAATAGTTGAGCGTTTAGATTGCGAAACGAGGGGCATCCGGGCTTTCGAACGATTTCATGGTACGCCAGAACACGCATTTCCGTCGTCGGTCGATCATCTCGGGGCGCGATCGATGGTCGAGTGGAGGCCGATGGAACGAACACGTTTTCGAAAAGAACGCGACGCTGCTAGCATCACGGAAACGAATCATCTGACCACTTGTTTATTCACTCGTGGCGCCACGGCGCATCCTGTTTCTTTTCTCGTGATCCGTCGCAACCTACCATCGTGGCGGTCGATTTCCGGTCTCCTCGTTCTCGCGATCGCGGCGCACAATGGCGATCGTACCTGTTGCGTGTCTCCTCCTTTCGTTGCGTACGAATCGCGAGGGCGATTTCTGCTCGAACGGAACACAGGATCGCAGAGGATATCGCTGGTTATTACAGCCAGCGATCCGGTCGATGCCCGAGGGAATCCTTGAAACGCCGGTTCGCGAGTACGCGGCCGCGTTCCTCGCGCGATTACCGATGGAAACGATCTTTTTCCCTCGCAACCTATGCGTTCCAAGTGGAGCGTACGCGAGGAAACCCACGCGTTACCGACGTTTCCACCGTGAAAAGAAAGGAAAAAGCTTGGCGACGCGCGGATGAAAGAGAACGAGAAACCGTCTTTTTTCCTTCTCTAGTCCTTTTCGTCCTTTTTTGGCTTTTGGATAAAACGTGGGTGCTGTTGCGCGTGCGTATGCGTGTGTACCGTAATCGGTGCTAGGGTATATTTCAGTGGTCTCGTCTTCGATCCAAGAGTCAACCTCGACGAATTCGGCGACGAAGCTCGGTATGTGACACTTGATAATTGCGGCGTTCCCCCGAAGGACGTGTTCGTCCATCACGTTCACTGCATACCGCTGCCCGACAACTGCAACCAGACACCGGTTTCCGGTTTTACCATAAGCCGCACATCTACATACAGCCTCGTATCCGTGGTGCGATCGATCGTTGCGATGAGCGTTCGAGAATTCGTGCGATCCTCTACGGCCTGTGGAAACCGTGGGGAGAAGAAGAATCGGCCGAGCGGAGGCGCGATTAATCGATCCACGCGATCGGAATAAACGAAGCCAAAGCTCGACTCGGACAGCGGCGGCGTTCTCGTCTCTCCTCTCCCACGTCGACCAATTCTATACGGATTCTATTCGCGATCGCGGAAACTCGCGAGGATACCGGATACTCGGTCGATCGATCTCTCCACTCGAACCGGTGATACGCACGAATCGGGGAACGAACGCCCACGCAGCGGCAAAGGAACGAATCGGTGGATCTCCGTCAGCGCGAAAACGGAGCAACGATCTCGCGCTGTGCTCCAACTCTCTGCCCATGCTGATTGATACCGTATGATTGTCCATCGGCCACGTAACTCCCGCCGTTCGAATCGATCCATCCCACTACGTCCACGTGGTCGGCGACGAACGAGGGAACCTGACACTTGAAAATCGCCGCGTTCCCGCGTATCGCGAACTGATCGTAAACCTGAACTTCAAAGTATTGGGCGACCACTGTAATAAAAGCGGAACAGAGTGGAAAGAAAAAAAAAGAAGAGAAGACAGCTGATGGTCGGAGCGCATGGCCGGTGAACGGGCTTTGATCCGGTCGATTAAAATTTCAATGAACCGCGAGGCTGGCTGCTCCGCAAACGAGAGTTCACCGTACGGAGCATCGTCGTCACACACCCGCCACGCTCTCTCTTTCCACCGATGGAAATTAGGCTAGCCGACGGACATCAATTTCCTCGTCGGTTTGATTAGTCCGGCTTAATCTAATCCGAAATCACGAACGAGGCCGACCGGCCGTCCCGTTTTCCGACCATTCCGTTCTCCGCGCGATCGTACGCGCGCCGTACGACAAATATTTGACGCTGGAACACGCTTCCACGGTCTATTTCGTGGCCCTTAATCGCGAACCGAGCGTCGCGATATAGTCTTTTTCCATCGATCTCTCGCTTACTCAAAGAACCTCGATCTCGATCGATAACCGGGCAATCTGATTCGATCGACCGACACCTAGGCTACCACGCTCTCACGGACACGCTCGTTAACTGACCGTGAAGTAAATTCCATTAGGCCGCGGCGTATTACCTTCCGCGCTCGATCGTTAGCCGAACAAAAGTGGATCGCCCTGTTCGCGGTCGCGTTTAATTCGCGCGACGGGCTCGATTAATCGGACTTAACCTAATCCGGTGGATCGCGGCGGGTAACGAGGCCACTGCCAGCCGCACGCTCTGCCTCCGCGTTCCGTTTGCGTCGGCCGCCTCGGAAAGGGCAAACTTTTCATAGGCCAGAGCAATTTGCACGCGTTCCACTCTATCGTCACAGACAAACCACCTCTCCTTTCCCCCGTGCACTCCAACGGTGCATCCTGTACACCCTGAGAGCGGACGACGGTACGAGCGCCGACGCGCATGCCGTCAAAGCGTAGCACGCCGAGCCGTCCGTTCGCGCGAGAGGGATGAGCACGCTGGTAATTCCATTTATTAATTCCATTAAAATGCCGGCAGGACCCGTCGCGTCGTTGGTAGGTCGTTGGAATCGAGCGTAGGCGGTAAATCGAATCGGCCGCGTTGCAGGGACCGACTTTCGTCCAAAGCCGCGAAACAAACTCGACCAATCGCATCGATCCGGTCTTCGTCCAGTTCCGGATGAGGCGTTACGCGAAAGATGAAAGAGATCGACGACAACGGATAGAATTTTCTTTGATGCGCGACGCAACGGAGGACCGATCGCCCGTGCTCACCCCCGGTCTTGCCAAATACGCTTTCTTTAATCGAGACGAGGGAAGTACCCTTTTCTTCTTGGTTGCTCGAGGAGTACGTGGACCCGTCCTCGACAGCCAGCCACTCGATCACGTCTACGAAATCTGCCACAAAGCTGGGTACGAGACACTTCAAGGTTCCCGTGTTGCCGCGCAAGACGAACTCGTCGGTGACCCTCGTCTCGTAGAATTGGTGGACCACTGCAACGCGTGTCTTTTTTTCAGAGAAGGCGTGATCGCGAACGCGAAAACGAGACGAGAAACGCGGAAAAGATTGATTTCGAAGCGATAGATTGGCCACGGAACGACGTTCGCGCTCGTGCCGGCTTCCCTTCCGTTCCATCGGAATTCGTTCGTTCGATGGGAAAAGGGAAATGAAACTTTGAAATTGGAGCGAGGGTGAGAAACGGAAGTCCGTTCCTCTGGCGTAGGTTCGTACAGCAACGAGAGATCACACCGACTCCGCCTACCGTAATCCTCTCCGGCCGTGTAAATCGTTCCATCGTCGGCTATCCATTGATCCACGTAAACGAACTCGGACACGAAACTCGGTATTTTGCATTTCATGATCGCGCTGTTCGCCCGGATCACGTACTCGTTCTCGGCCTCGGTGACGAAGAACTGCGAAACGACTGCCCGCGCGGGCACACAACACAGGATACGTGATCAACCATGATCGTGATATGCATGTATAGGTGGTACTGGTCGCGTTAAGGGTTAATCGATCGCGCGAATTCGTCGCATTCGACGACACGCCTCGAGGTATCCGCCTCGTCCGATCCACCCCTGTGCGAGATGCTTCGCCGGAAAGTAAAATTCGAACCTCGACGATTCCCGAAGAATCGACACTTCGGAGTTCGCGCCGACCGAGCGAACCGACGGATTAAACGCGATACGAGGGTGTTGGGAAGTTTCTCGTAACAGACTCGACGCGTCGACTCGGGACGGACGAGGGGATTCACCGCGAGGCGTGTCTGAATCCGTTTTAAAGTCGAACCCCCATAGTACCCTGGCCGACAGCGGGATCCTCCGGCAGATAGACCTCTCCGTCCTCTCTGATCCACGCCTCGACCGTAACGAACTCCGCGATGTAACTCGGGATGCTGCACTTCAAGATCGCGCTGTTCCCCCTGATCACGTACTCCGTGAGAATTTCCGGCTGATACGGCTGCGTGACGACTGCACGGAAAACAGGCTACTGGCGAATCGTCTCGATGGCATCATCCGAGTCCCTCGATAGCTCCGTGAGCCATTCCCGCGTGAGCTCGTCGATGCTTCTCGAGCTCGGATTTCGCACGGAAAAACGAAAAGCGACGGGTGGTCGATTAAGCGCGTGGCTCGATCTAGCAACGGATACTCGCGCGATGCCCGAGCGGCCGGCGCTTGGTAATCGAGTTCGTTTATTTCCTTAGGAGAGCCATATAATCCCGGCGTGAGAGCCGCAGCGGATGGTTCATTAACCCTCGTCGCGTTGCCGCCGCCGTTCAACTGCCGCCAGACTGGACCGCGCCGGAAACGAATCGTTACCACGTGCCACTTTGAACTTTTACCAAGTTTGTCGGGAAACGAAGCGGCCGAGGATGAGAAGAAAAAACCGAGGAGGGGCCCAGTCGCGGACGATCGGGAGCAAGAACGAGAAAAGGAACGAAGGGAATACGGAGAAGGGAAAAAGGGTAGGACGAGTGTAGTACCGTAGTCGTTGGTCGGCTTGAAGGTCGAACCGTCGCTTCCCACCCAGGAGTCGACCGACACGAATTCCGCGACGAAGCTGGGTATGGTGCACTTCAAGATGGCTGCGTTTCCGCGTATCACGTATTCGGACACGACCTCCGCTTCGTAGTACTGAGTCACGACTGCATGGAAATAGGGGCGTGCGATAAGTCGTTGCGCAATTAGCGTGACACCGTTAACGAATCGCACAGGCTGCGACCGTTTCGTTCGGCAAAGGTGTATTCGGCATCGCGCGTGCGACCGAACACCGGGCACCCGTCTAATGCTCGGAAACGATCGGCCCGAGTGTCATACGACGTTGACCAACTTTACCCCCGCTGCCAGCTTTCGTCATCGAACCCCGCAATCCCAACCACCCCCTAGAACCCCTACCGTTCTTCTCGTTCGGGTTAAAAGTGTTTCCTTGGTCGTCCTGCCAGCCGACTACTTGAACGAACTCCGCGACGAAGCTGGGTATGCTGCACTTGAGTATAGCCGCGTTGCCGCGTATCACGTACTCGTTGTTTACTTCGGACTGATAATACTGGTGTACCACTACAATAGACGGAAATGCCGATAATCAGCCGCGTTCTAAGCGATACGCGTCGGCTCGCGCGATCCCTTACGCGCGCTCGATTATAGTCGGCTACATGCACGGACTATACGAAATCTGAAATCAACCGTGGCATTATCGATCTCGTTGTTCCCTGGAAGCCTGTGTATGCCAGTGCGGCCGATGCGGTTCTCCACGAGGTTCTCGATGACGCGGAGAATACGTATATAGGCGAGCTAAAACGAGATTACCCCGTAACGAATAGCAGCGTTGGGACGCACGACGTTGACGACAGCTTCTCCGGTGACGTATTCGACGTCGTGGTCTCGTAATCGTGGTCGTGGTCGTGGTCGTCGTCGTCGTCGTCGTCGTCGACTCTCGCCGAGCAGATCGATTCGCTGGGTCGCATCTTACGCCGCAGCCGCGAGAGCTTAGAAAAGCTTGCATCCAGGAGGAGCACGTCGACACGTCGGCAAACGATCGGTGCACTTTGACTCCGTGTGCACGCCCGTTTCTACGCATGTGCGAGCACGCGAGAAAAGACCAGGCGGACACGGTGGAGAAAGCGAAACGGAGCGAGCGCGAAACGAGAGGTAACGCGAAGGGTGGTGAGAAAGAAAGAGAGAGAGAGAGAGAGAGACAGAGAGAGAGAAAAAGAGCGAGAGAGAGGGGAACGTCTGACGTCGATGTCGACGATGTGCTCCAATTATTTGGGCCAGCACGCTCCCCGGTAGAAATAACGAGCTGGTAGGAACGTTAACGAGACCAGTCGACGATGTTCTCGCGTGCGCATATGTACATCGATTATGCGAGCCGAGAGCGACTGACCCAAGCTTTCGGTCCATTGCTCTATTTTCTATGGATTCGCGACTGGCCGTTTGCCGTGACAATTGCCCCGATAAACGTCACGCACGCGATCGCTCGACGCGACGTCCGGCGTTTCCTTTCGTTCCCGTTCAACGCGTCCTAGCTTTCCACGATCTGCTCGCGAGAATCGTCGCGACGCGACGCGACCATCCTTTCGAAAAGCTTCTACGCTTCGACGTAAAGTCGATGGAATGACGCGGGGACTACCGTAATCGTCGCCAGGTACGAACTCCTCTCCTTGATTGGTGTGCCAGGACAGAACCTTCACGAAATCGGCGACGAAGGACGGAACGACGCACTTCAAAATGGCACTGTTCCCACGAATCGCGTACTCCTTGTTCACGTCCGTGTCGTAGTACTGCGCCACCACTGCGATTTCGTCGTTAAAAAAGAGAAAAAACCTCGCGATCGAAACTCGCGAGCAAACAGCACCGCCCTCCGGTCTCCGTTTTTCGTTTCGAATATTTCGTACTCGAGCCCTTGGAACTGGGTCGTGCAACTGGGTCAACGATGCACCCTCGCGCGAATTACATAGTCCGACGGGCGATTAAAAATTTCACCGGTCTTTTCCACGTTACCCAATGCAAAGCCAGACTCGGAGGAATATCGCCAATTATAGGTTTCCGTTGAACCACCCGGAGACCGAAGAGAGGCGAATGTTCACCGCGAACAACGGCGGCGGCAGCGATTACTCGTTATACAAGCCCTGCTCTAATTTTCCCTGATCATTGGAGGAAACGGCGATAATTGCCACTGATATCGTATGCTCACCGGATGTGTCGCGATTGATAAACGCGAGGCGCGAGTTACTGACCCAAAAATGCTTACGGAGGTATACTCGGTCGTTCGCTGTTCGAAACAGCTGCAAAGAAAACGTTTTAGGTTTCCCGTGCCTGGCCCATCTTTCTCGTCGTGCCGCTGTCGTCTGTCAACGCTAGAATTACCAAAGTACTCGAAATTACGCGTTTCCGATCTTTTATTTTTGCAATCGCTCGAGACGCGTAGCTGTTCTTTGGCACCGTTGATATCAATTTTTATTTAGATCGGCATGTAATCATCCGTACTAGTCTATTTTCGTTACACCGTCCCAGATATTATCGTCTCCGTACACGGTACCTAGGTACGCGTTATGGATCGGTAGTTCTAGCGTGAAATCATATCTGTCGAATGAATACTTTATAAAAGTCACTTTTCTAGTTATTCCTTACTCGAAAATAGATATTTAAAATTACCAAAAAAAAGTGGATTCTTTGCTATTTTTGATGCTACATCGCGACAACGGCATGACGCGTCTGTCTTGAACATCTTGCTCCGTTAAAATTCCAACCGAACGTCGTTTTCGAGAAATATCTCGTTAGAAAAGCGACAGATGGCCAGGCAACGGCGAGGGTTTCCGCGTGATTTTTGGAATGGAAGAGGATAACCACTTACCGGCTCTCACGTTAACATCTCGGCTGTGAACTGAACCTGCTGGGGAACGCGCCAGACAGCTGTATACCTGAGCATGAACCTCTTGACGATAATCCTCGGCGCGGAAAGGAGGGAAGACCAAGTTTCCATTCGGTAAAACCTGCAATGAGACGATTTTTCATTCGATTCGCGAAAGAAGCATGTAACGAGGCGACAATTAATTCGACCTTCTTGGCCGTCGAACGACTGACGTAAGATCGTTCGCTGCATCGGTAATACGAACGCGTGGCACGTGGGTTGTCCGAGTGTTCGATAGCGGCAAGTCGGTCAGGTCCGATCGCGCGAGAAGTAGATACGAAGGACGAAACGATATTACTCGAGTACGGGTCGTAACGACTGGAACGAAATTTCCCGAAAGGAAGGAAAATACCTGTCTGAGTCCGGGAACATCTCCTACAGCGCTTCCGTCAGCACGAACCCAAATGATATCCGGTTGGGGGTTTCCTCTGGCCTGGCATTCGACGACAGCTCCGGTTCCGTTCGAGAAGTCAATTCGGTTTGGTGGTTCCTTGAGAAATACCGGTCCCATGGATTCATCCTCAGCGCAAGCCACTGCGAAAAGACAGAAAATCGTGCAGTTTACCGGAAGAACGCAGCAACGCGATCGATACCGATCGTACGAGCAGCTCCTTCTGCCGGTGGCAGTTGCAGCGAAGGAGATGCAACCGCGAGTCAAGAGAGATCGATTAATCGAAACTGCCACCGGCAAAAGGAACTTTCGTTGCGTGTCTTTCAGCCTCGCTTATCATCCGTCTCCGCCAGGATACGCGACACCCACGTTCAATTGGCGCGTCGCCAATTGCAGCAAACAACAGGTTGCCGGTCTGCTATTGAATAATATGCTATCAACGTCACGTGACCATAAGGGAGACGGCAATGCGTGATTCCTTTTCCGTCCCGGGGATCCCCGATTTCATCCATCCGCGTGGAGAATCGTCACGATCGACTCGTGGATGGTAAAGATCGGTATCGCGGCCTCGAGGCGAGTCGAACCACGAATTTCCTCGTCTCGTTCCGCGCCGTTTCCTTTCCAGCGTATATTTTCAACCTCGACGTCGGTTTCCGCGTGTTTACGATTATACAAGAGTTCCTTGTTCCACTTTCGTGGCGCGTAACCGCCTACCGGCTTATAACCACTGTTACGACCAGGCGAGAACGGATAAACGCGGCACGCTGTAAAATCCAAGTCACGAAGAACCGGTTAGCGAAGCGTACGCTGGCCAGGCGAACGACAGGAGGTGCACAGGTACGGGGAACAGGTGTTCCGAACTTTTGTCGTACCGAAACTGCACGGACTCGTTTTTCCACGAAGCCCGTCTATTCTCGTTGGCTCGTTCCACGAACGCGTACGCGCATCCAGCCAATTCGATTACGCGCCTCTGTGTCGCTCGTCGTCCCGCGAAATGGAATTACGCGCAAAACGGGCGAGATTTCGCGCGACCGTCTTTCGGAAAACACCTTCCATTCGGCCGGATCGGAGCGTCGAACGAGCAGCTCGTTCGTTAACCATCGATGATGGGAAAAGGTGGCAAAAGGAAGATCGATCGCTGACCCGATATGTCCGGTGTGTAAAAGCGTTTTTCGTGAAGTTCCAGCGTTACGCGCTCGCGATCAAAGACGAGATTCTTCCCGGTCGATAACCGCTCTGTAATCTATATATAGGCAAGCTTTGAGACGTCCGGACGCGCTGCATCGAATATATTTCCAGCAAAGATACGCGCGCGTACGCGTTTTCAACGCGCCGATGTGTTGCCCCGTTCACACGGTGGAAACGATGCGCGTGTGACTCACGCGCCTACGCTTCACGCGTGTGCAACTCGAAAGATCGTGACGGCCATAATAATCCGGGGACAGACTTTTGAAAAGCTCCGACCACGAGGAACGATCATCCTTCGCTTCCCGTTTTCTCTTTTCTTTTTCTTCTTTCCTTCTTTCCGCGACTCATCCCGGCGTAACGCGGATGTCGAGTGGCGATAAGTGTGTCGCGGCAGCGCGAATCGCGGCCCGTTTAAAGCGGAAAGGACCGCGTCGACGAAAATATTCTCTTCGCTCGGAAATCCCTCGGAATTTTCACCGTTCGAGTTTTGGGTCAAGTACGGGTTTCGTCCGTCTTTTCGATTTAAGTTCTGCCGACTATTTTTAAACCTGCCCGGCGACTCTCTCGCCTCCTAACTGCGCGCGTGTCTTTTCCTACGGTACACTTATCGTTAGACACAGCGCGACCCTCGCATTCTCCTCGTCGCGACCGATTTTGCTCCTTTTGTCGGAAAGTATCCTCCAGCGGGTGCTGAATCATCGCCGATGTGCCTCGTGCTGGACACGACGCACGCGAAATCAAAGGATTCACCTGGCGGGGCACGGCCGGCTACGATTCTCTTTCAGGCACGGCCGTTCTCCGTTCTGGGAACAGCAGCTGTTCCTTTCCCTTGCTTTCCTCTCTCCCCTTCGTTCTTGCTCTTTTCTTCGGCAGCTGCAGTCCGTGCTCCGTTTCTACCTACCTACCTACGCCTCTCGCGGACCTTTCACGAGCTGACGGATGCCGAATGAAGCAACGCGAGATTGCATCGACAATCGCCCCAACTGATTTTCCATCCGTCCCTCTTCCTCCTCGAGGGGGCACGAAATTCTGCTCCGAACCACGGGGAACGCGAACGATCCCGCAAATTACGGGAACGAGTCTGTATCTCCTAACAGCGTGGAACAATTGTACGAAAGAAAACGTGACTAAGATGATTATTTCGTCACTCCTACGATGCCGGCGTGTTTACCCAAGAAAAAGCTAGAAATTTTATCGTCGATTCGCGTCGGATTATCTAACGGGCGCGTCACGTTGATAGCGATTGCAGATTCTTCGCCTTAATCGTATCTAATCCTCCCATTGACCGAGCACGTTCGAGGAACGTGTTATCCGGAAGATTGCTGAACGAAAGATGAGTTACTGCATCAGCTGCTGACCTCACGACTCACGGCAACGTACCATACGTGCTGGCTGCATAAACGATCAGATGGCCAAGACGGAACGCGGTAACGCGTACTTTCTACTCGTTACGATTCTACGAGACAACGAGATCGTCCGTTCGCGGATCGAGATCCATTTCCATACGAAGGACCTCGCGACTCGCGATGACCGTTCGCCATTACCAGTAGCATACTCTTTTACGTCTAGCTGACTCACCGTTCGTCAATGCCAAAAGAGCCAACAGCAACATCGTAGTTAGATAGTGGGGTATATTACACCCCCCTCCTGGAGGATCACGCCACATTCTGATCCTGTCTTCCTTGGACGCACTGATTCTTGCCTGATTTCACAGAAAAACACGCGAACTTGAGACAGAATCACGTGGGCGATCGCAACAGCTGCACGCTGACGGGCCAAAGAGAGGAGAGACGATTAAAATGGATCGCAAACGATTTCCCGAATCGCGCTTCCCGCCTGCAAGAGGATGCACGCGAGTTCCTCCTAGTCCCGGGCGTAGCCGATGAATATGTTTGATTCGAGTGACCTTAGCACGGTTCAAGGCCGACTGGTTGGCCGGTTCATCCGCCGATTATGCTCGCCGGCTGTGTACGATATGGAAATTGCGCCGAATTTTTATTACGCTGCTCGCGAACATCGCCATGCATGACTACGACCGGTGCAAGCCGTTAAGCGGAAGCGGAACACGTCATCGGTCGTACTTAATAGTTCCCACTGTTTCTACATTCTCGTACGACCGGCATGCCATCGCGACACGTATCAAAGCAGCGTTTACTTTTTTTCCTGGCGAAGCAAAAGCGAAAAAAAAAGGAAGCGTCGCGTAGGCGAACGACGAGGCTCGTTGAAATCTGTGGTGCAGATGAGCGAGCGAGATCCTGGAGGAAGAGCCTCGGCGTTCGGCTGGCTGAAATCACGACGATATACGAGGCCTGGTGCGCGTCAACGTTTTAAGCAGGCTAAAAAGCGAAGCGGACGAAAACGGAGGAGGATGGGAAAAGAGAAAAACGGGGGAAAAAAGGAAATCAATGCGTGAAAACTGAAAGTGCGCGAAGCCTTTAGCGTCCGTCGGCTCGTGATAATCCCTGGAACACGTTGCCGGTCGTTTTTCAAAAGCACCGGCAATACAGCGTGCACGTGCTGAATCGTTGATAGCATGGGTTAGGTAGGAAGAAGACAGTGCGAGCGGGAGAGACGAACGGCGGATGAGCAGAGAGAAGAGAGACGGAGAAGCAGGAGCGAGAGAGAGAGGGTGAGAGAGTGGGTGAGAGAATGGGAAGGAGAGAAAGAGAGAAGGAAGCAGAGAAGAACGGAGTAGCGCGGCTCGTCGCGGAGCTGCTCCCTCTCGGTGGGTTTATTGATCGCAGGGTGCGGAGCGGACCAATCTACCCCTCGTGCAGCGTACGCCATGCTTGCTGGTATTTGTCTGAACCAGTCCGCTTGCTTGCCAGCCAGCCCGATTCTCCGCTCCGCCGTCAGCCTTCGCTAAATCCGGAAAACCCGCCCCCGACCCTATAATATGCCGCATGGCCCGCTACCTGCACCAGAAATACTACTCTCTCCCTCGTTCCCAAGAATCGCGCTGCCTTTGCCAAAGGTGCAGATCCACCAACGGATTACGACCAACCTAACCGTCGTGTCGTCATCGTCGTCGTCGTCGTCGTCGTCGTCGTTCGATTAATTAAACCCGATGTTAGTAGTACTACGACCGATAGATCTGGGCCATACAACGTCTATCTGACTGCGAGGAAGGTCACCACCCTTGCACGCGACGCGGATCAACCGTATCGTCTTTTTCTCCGATAGCGATCCTCCTTCCGGAAAGAACAAGGCTTTCTTTCACGACGAAACGCAAAAAAAGGTGTTTCTCGATAGTCGCATGTGCTCGTTCGCCAACACGGCTGGCTCTGCTGTTGCTGCTACTGCTGCAGTGCCCGTTCAATCGTTTCGCAGTTGCATCGAGTCAACTCGATCCTTCGATGCGGTGCACGAAGAAATCGCGTGCTGTCTTTTCCTCGCAGGCGTTTCACGTACTTTCTACGTGTTCTAGAATCAAACGATCGACTTGTCAATTTCGTTCGACCCCTCGGCTGACAATCCCCGAGTACATCGACCTAACTTCTGCCAAGAATACGATCCCGTCAGCGAGCTGTTGCGATCACTCGGTAGCGAGAGAACGCTGCAATCACGAATCTCTCGATCGTGAACGGATCACCCACGATAGTCACACTCTACGTTCACAGGAACACACATGCACACGCGTACACACCCACGAGAGATTTCGCAAATCCTCGAAGGACTAGCGGAGATCTTTTCGAATCCGCCTCCTTCGCACGCGAATAATCGCGCGAATTTTTAACGAGGCAAAACCCTCCGAACGTGACTCACACGTGCGACAGCCACACACCGCTTTTCACCGTTTTACGTACCAACGTCACGTTGATTAAATCGCAAAGATACACGCTGACCACACCGGTCCGGTGAATAGAACGAACACTCTAGGTCCGTAGACGACCGAAGAGTGCGAGGAGCGTCGTTTGCTTCGGGACAGCGGCTGCTCCACGGGATCTCGAGGTCGGCGGTGGGGGGTCGTCGTCGTGGTTCGCTGTTGCCTCTCATTGTGGTGGGGACGGTCGGCCGGTTGGTCGACCTTTGTCGCGCGCCACGGAAGCTATGGCAGTATGCGTATTTTCGCACCGACTCCTCTAATTGTAATTGTTCCATGTTTATGCGCCGTCACGTCTCCAAATTTCACTTCCTTAAAGCATTTTTGACGCGATAAATGGCTCTGCTTAATGCACGGTCTGCTACTTTCTCGTCGCTCGTTCTCGGCGTCTCATTTTTCAATCGGGAAGGAAACTCTCTCGTTTTCGTATCGTAGTGAACGGGATCTATGGTAACAGACGTTTGGACAATTTCTTATCGGGAAATAGTTTCGATAGAGAAATTGAACTGAAAGATGGAAGTAATAATATTTAATACTTCGTATTAAAAATATATGAAATTTGCATTCGACTTTATTTTCTATACGTCGTTCTACGCTGGTACTACATGTCTGTCGTTCGCGCGTTTAAATATTTGAATGATTCGTGCAAATATAGAATAGCGATGAATGAAGCTTGAAAACACCGTTTCGTAGTGACGTAAAGGAACACCGGCGAAACGCGTCATCGAAAGATGACTGCTTTATTGACTAGTTTTTCGAAGCCCTACGAATTGTCGAACTGATTTAGTTAGTGCGGCACTTGATAAGGAAGGATTCGTCTGTAACGCGTCACTCTGACAAGAATTCGTGTCAAATATGGTTGAAAGAGAGCAAACGAAAAAGGATATAAAAGAATTGGCAAAAAATGACAAGTATTCGATATTACTTCCAACGTACAACGAAGTCGAGAATTTACCCATAATCGTTTGGCTGATCGTCAAGTATATGGACGAGAGGTAATTATCGTGACAACATAACCTCAAATACGACTGATGTCATTGCTTCTATGCGGTGTGGTTAGACAATTATAAATATGAGATCAGAAAGATTGATCAGTCATGTGAAAATATACAACATTCTAGTGAACTTGATTATGAAATAATCGTGATAGACGATGGTTCTCCAGATGGGACATTGGATATGGCTAAACAGCTACAAAATGTGTACGGAGAGAACAAAATAGTCTTGAAACCGAGGGAAAAGAAGCTTGGACTGGGCACGGCTTATATGCATGGGATTAAACATGCTACGGGAAACTTCATTGTCATTATGGATTCAGATTTGTCCCATCATGTATTTATATTGAACCTGAAACAGATACTTAAAAAATAATTTTGTGCCTTATGTTCTTCCTACTTTTTGTAGCCCAAATTTATACCAAAAATGATAGAGCAACAGAGGTATCTGGATCTAGATATTGTTAGTGGTACCAGGTATGCACATGGTGGAGGAGTTTATGGCTGGGATTTCAAGAGAAAATTAATAAGCAGAGGAGCAAATTTCCTAACGCAACTATTATTGAGACCAGGTGCCAGTGATCTCACAGGCAGTTTTAGGTATATGATTTACAAATTGGTCGACACTTTCGTTATTTTTAACGTAAATTTTACATTGTTACAATTGTAGGCTATATAAAAAGGATGTGTTAGAGAAGCTCATTCAATCCTGCATATCAAAGGGGTATGTCTTCCAGATGGAAATGATCGTAAGGGCCAGACAATTCAAATACACCATAGGAGAAGTTCCAATTACGTTTATCGATCGTATTTATGGGGAATCAAAGCTGGGAAGTTCGGAAATTATTCAATTCGCGAAAGGTCTTCTGTATCTTTTCGGAACTACGTAATACAACGTACAATAAAAATAAAAGATACAAATTTTATCCGTCGTATTATAAATCATATTATATAAATGAAATTACGTATAAATAAAACATTGTATATTGCTATACGTTTTTTTAAAATAAATACTTAATGTCCATGCTTCGATCAATTTTGACGTAACAAAATCCTATTTTTTCGAGTTAATAAAGGGCAAATGCTTACTTTAAAAGCGGAGAAGCACGTGTGTACACACGTGGTCGTGAATGAGAGACACGATACACATATAACGATTCTAGCGAGCGATTCCACCCTCGCCGCACCCTCTGACGTCACGCAGCCTCCGTTTATTGATCCATTACAAAATTACAGTCTATATTTCGACTTGAGCAGAATAGAAGACGGTGCCACAATGTGCCATGTACGGAAACTAGCCAAGATGTGAAAAAAAGAATTTTTCAACGTTATAAATGCGATTTACATAACCATATATGATAATATAACAAATAAACTTTCGACATTAATCCATATACGTATATTTAATCCATCTATTTACGATTAAGTGAAAATAACCATTTCCATATAAAATTAACGATAAAAGTATCTTCGCCATCCACTATTTTACCACTCCCTTCGTAAACGTCAGAACTGGCCTAAAGAAAACTACCGAATCGTGCTTTTCTAATCGATCATCGGCTTTTTTGTTTCTCGATAGAACAGCCTGAAAATACGAGAGTGGCTCTTCTGACGAGCGAAAATGCTCGAGGTCTCGAGATCAGAGTTTCCCTTTGCGAAACGGGTGCAGTTAGTCAGTTCTGTCGCAAGCTTCGCCGCGGCCAGACGTGCAAGTGGCGTTGCCTACGCGCCGGGGTGAAACTTGCAAGCTCCCCCTTATCGAGCTTTCAGATGGCTGTGCCTTTTAGATTTTGACCTTTTCTTCATTTTCCTTTTCTCCTGTTGTATACATTTTTTTATTCTTCACTTCGTTCGAACATATATGATTCTGGTACGTCGTTCTCGCCGCTGAGAAGTCATCCCCGACATGCCACGAAAAATCGGATTCAACGTCGTGTATGCAACCAGTAAGAGAACATCAGATTGTGATTGTGAAAAACATCGAACAACGATAACCTATAGAGCCGTGCGTGAATTTCTGCCGATCCCGAGGGTTCACAACGTTGCGGCACACATGCTTTCGTACAAGGGAATTCCCCGAAGGGTAGAAAATCGTGCAACGGTTTGCACACGCTGACATCGATTTCCTTTATTTCGTGTAAAAGATTTCGTTTTTTCGGAAGTTGCTGCTTTAAAAGGAAACGAGTTAACAACAACGACTCGACACGTGCTTCACCGCGTCTCGTTGCAGATTGCATATTGCTTTCGAGCGTAATGAATTCCTAATCGATGCTCGTTTTGCACCCTTTGGGATAATTAAATATTGTCTCAAGCATTCCCGGTTAATAGACGCGGAGAAGTAGCACACGATGAGTTTCTTCGGTTGTTGTGATCGCGAAGCGTAAGGCGAGGTACAGCATCGCGTGACGAAGTCTCGTGCTAACACCATTGAAAGTATAATTTCAGTCAAAACGTTATCGATTACAGAGGAATCTCCATATTTACCTACAAAGGAAAAGTATACGGCCGCGCAAAGTATGAACTGTATAATTAAAACGTGGGAAACCTTGATAGAAAAATCGCGAAAGGAAAGGTTGTGGGCGATTAATGGAATCGAAAGAATATTCTTCAAACAGTCCTTTGAAGCAATGTCCCTTTACGATCGCGAATATTTATCTTAATTCCGTAAAATATTCTTGGTACTCGAAATGATCGTATTCAAAATTTTCACAAAATCTTCACAGGCGAAGAAGATAGGCATTCTTCGCTAGAACTGAATGTTCATGGGCCAACGGTAAGGGGTTGGCAAAGTTCAAGGAGATGTACATATCCTCAAGAACTCATTCTACGCCTTCAGGGCCCGACAAAGCTTACAAGGATACAAGTCTTAGTTCATCAATATTTAATTCGTAAGTTGCGAATTCGTTATGAGCAATCCACGTATACGCTATCCTCGTCGACTTCTTTCCCTTTATTTTTGCATCGCAAATTATTCAACGAAAATTGAATATCACGATCTAGTAGAAACTGTGGTGCTCTTTTCTAGAAAGAAATTCGGTAACAATGAAAATCGAATTAGCGCTGCAACCCCGATTTCCCGAGGCTAGGTCGTTTTGTCCTCTGCGCCTTACCCTCGTTTCTTATTCTACTTACTCTACTTTCAGCTGAATGCCGTGCTACGTTTTACCTTTTTATTGTTTGTAAACTCCTCTTTTCTTCTGCGAACGGCATACTAATAAGATAGCAGCTTATTAATCATCGTGGAATCCTTGCAGCTGAGAAACTCGAGATCTGGGCATCGAAAGAAGAGAATGCATCCGTGACGACCAAGTTCAGCTATTTGGGTTACATTATGTTGTCCGACAATGCCTCTACGATGTATAAAAGCAGAGAGCTGAAGAGCGCTGCTCTTCCGGAAAAAGAGGCGGTCTCGCTGAAACTGAGACTTCACAAACCGCACAGTAACGCGCACAATATTTATCAACAGGTACACACGATCTCGACGTGCACGCTTGAATGCAACATTGAATGCAACCGATTGCACACGCATTTGAAATTACAGGTTGGTCTTATCGCGATTAATATCCTCGGTGAACCTTACGGGCAAGAGCTCACCGGCCAAGGAGACGCACCTTATAATCCTCATTACACGTCCCCGTACGATGATTTGGCGTTTGAAATGTACGTGGACCGAGAGGTAGCCAAGATCATAAGGCAGATGGAAACGAAAAAGTTGCAGGCTGCGGAGGGTGCGTGTGAAAATCATGTCTAAGTAAGAATGACAATTTCGTGAAAATTTGAATACTGGTATATTTCTAGAGGAGAGATTCGTGTACGCGTCGAAACTTAAAGTAGCGATGGAGAACCTGAGGAAAGCCGGAGAACGTCTGGGGAAATATGAATTGGAAAAGAAATACGCCATAGCTTTAGAGGATTACGACAAGGCCAAAGCGAAGAAGGCACAAGCGCAACAATATAGACAACAAGTCTACCAGAGCTTAGAAGTGCAGGATCTACTAGAACCTCATGGGGTAAATATGTATTTTTAAATAGAGTACCTAATTAATATTTACTTACTCGTTTGCCGTACCCTTGCCTGAACAGCCATTGGAAAAGAACAACAAATCGTCAGCAGAGGGGAAAGAGCCCATATCCATAGATACTTGTACCACGAGTACAACTACTGTTCCTGAGGATATCACATCTCCTCCGAGATTAGTAATTCCACCTAATCGCGATGGAGCTATATCGCCGACAGGACCGGCGCATCAACCACCTGTTTCACCTTTACATCAGAAACCGAACAGCCCTGGTAAATTAATTTCCATAGCGACTGACAAACCCTAATAATAAGGTACTATCCAAACACCCTTCCCCTTTAACAGATATTACCGACAGTCCTACAAATGGCGTAGTGGAAAGACAAAATAACTGCAACAAGGGATCTCTCAGGAGGAAAACCAAGTCGGCAGGACCAGCACTGCGGTCGAGCTATGAGGCTTACGAGGAAAGGACAATTCCTGCTTTAAGACAGTAAGACATGGAAAATATAGACGGTAAAGAATCGTTATATGACATTGCTGAATTTCAGTTCGCACACGAATGAATTCACACGGGAATGTCACATGGATAATACGGAAACAAAAGCGATATCTAAATTGAATGACAGAGAAAAGAAGCAAGCTGCCTTACCTATCTCCGTCTTCGGAATAGAAATGGTAAAGCAAGCTTCAGACGACTATCTCGATTAATTTCTAAAACTATAACTAATAAAATTAACTCTACGTGTTCAGGTAGAGAAATTCTATTCGAAACAATTCACGGATAAAGAAGAGGGTCTGATGCAGCTGAAGGAGGAATTGAGGACCTTCGATTCAGAAGTTTCGAAGCATTCCGCAAATAAGACAGCTAGAGCTGCGATTTTGCTGCTACACAGAGCTCTCAGAGATAAAGTATTCAGCGTGTATAGTCTGGCAGCACAATTAATTCGAATTTTCTTCTCGGAATTTGCAACTGATAGGTATTCGCGTAATGTATTATTTGATGATAAATTTATTTGATGAAAATTACAAATTCATCGTAAATTATCGTCTTTTTATCATCTTAGAGTATCTTCCACGGAAATTGCGAGAAGCGTGGATAGGCTACTTCCGGAATTATTGACGAAATCAGGGGACACTACTCCGAGGATCCATAACATGGCAGTACACACGATACTCAGCATGGCAGACTGTAAATGCGTCAGGGATTTGCATATTATACCAGTGCACTTAACAAGGCCCGTTAGTAGTAGCACTCATCAAAGATTAGCGCTTAGCAGATTAGAAATGGTGGAGCAGCTAATTCTCAGCCACGGAATATCTACCGATAAACAAAGGTGACTCAAAATATCATAATCTCAAATGTATATCTTGGATATGAAATATGAGAAATGCCAAAAAACATCAGACCTCTGCGTGTGACAGCCGATGCGATTTTATTTATGGACGTCACTCGCAGAGGTCCACCCTCAACGTTAAGACTAATACGTTAAAACGCAATTACTCTGATAAGGCATTGTAATTGTTGTAGTGGGCTTACTTGTCGGACATTGTCAGAATTGGGTTCCTCGGGATTGCACCATCCAGCTGAAGCAGTTAGGAAAGTTTCCGAAAGGATTTTAGTGCTGGTGTACAAAGTGAATCCCAGATTGGTCCGTAAGCAATTGCCTCCTGATGATGACATCACCAGAAGGAACTTATTGTACCGTCAACTTTTCCATGAATTCGACTTGATTGATCTTCAGGTAAAGGTCTTCTTTCTTGAGGAAGGTATTTTAGATATACATATGAAAAAGTCACATTTACCTTGTTACGTGCGTATCCGTTAGAGGAAAAAGGAATCTGAAACGAGCAATAAAACAACGACACCTACTCAGACAAAATCAACGGAGAATAATGTAGCGAACTTGACGAAATCTCCTTCGAGAACGAGTCCTGTTGTTAGTACTGGAAGCTCAACAAGCATAACTTCTCCGTCCGAGAACAGTACGGAACATAAAGGTGACAAGTGAGTGATGTACCATTTCTTTGATATTTGTTCATAATGTATATTATAGATATTTGTTTGACGTTTGTTAAAAATATACTTTTTTCTTTTTCCTTTTCTTACAGAATGTGCATATTTTGTCTTTCCAAGGGACAAGGTTACTCCGAGGAAGGTTTAAACATTCATTATTGGAGGAGTTGCCCTATGTTGACAAAGTGTGAGGCGTGTAAACAAGTGGTGGAAATTTCGTACTTGAACTTACATTTGTTAAGTGAGCACCATTTCTATTGAATTGTTCTTAACATGTAGCATTTAATCGTAGTAAATACTTGCTTTATCTTTCAGATGAATGTGATATGAGAAGCAATTATGTAAAATGCGAGACGTGCAAACAAGCAATCAATGAAAATTCTTTCGAGGAACACAGGAAAGATAACAAGTGTACAAGTACGCAAAACTTCGACATTGTTAACGCAATAATATAAATCAACATATAATAAAATTTATCATTCGTATTACAGAACCCATCGAAGGCTACGATCGTTGTCCATTATGCTCTGCTCTTGTAAATCAAAATAAGTGGAGAGAGCATTTAATGGGTGATCATCCCTGCGTGAACAATCCTCGAACTAAATCAGGGAAAAGCTGTAAGTTCGTTGTTATTTAATCATAATACATCAGTGAATCCGAAATTTGTTTCGTTTATAGGTTCAAAATCTCCATCAAATTCTCAGAATCTCAGCGGAAAAATAACTACACCAAGTAATCGGGATTACTAGCATCATCCGTCAACTTCGAGCCTTTCGGAGTGTAAAAAATTTTAGAGAAGGTTTTTCTTTTGTTTTCTTTTATAGTTTATCTGTATGTTATGAGCTACTCAGCATTTTTCATATTTATACTTGTATTTAAATGTTTTTTATAGACAAACCCGTCCTTCATTAGTAGAAATCTCTATGTTAAACAAATTTTTAATCGTAAGTTGAAATCCTTTAATCTTTAGCATCTAGAAGTCTTGTTATCAACTAAATTTGAGAACGAAAGAGAATATAACGTATAATGTACTTTAAAGCGAATATCGAAACGTACGAAGACGTACAATAGATATTCATCTTTTCCAACTTTAATATACGGTAGAAGCAAGAAATTCAGTACGATTTAATAAAATATTGTTGAACACATTGGCAATAGCCATTTAAGAATTAATGATTCCTCTACATCCGGCCATATTTATAACACTATTTGTACTATAATCAACAAAATATCTTAAATTTAATGGCCGAAAATAATAAAAAAATGAAAGACTAATTGTCGCTCAAACTATATGAAAATTACATGTTATTTCATAAATTATTTCATAGAAAACAACTAGTAAAAGAAATGGCATTTCCCATCAAATAACGATTACTTGTCCTATAAAAACATTTTATTTTATTTCTACAAGATACATTTTACCATGGTGCATAAAATAATATCCGGCTTACCGGTATTTCACAAGTGAAGCACCTTTATTAAAATTTAAATAAAATGAAAATTTTTAGTTATTTTTACGTTATACTGAATTAAAAATCTCAAAGAAAATTAAAGGAACATTACTTTGTATTACAAAATTATATGTCATTCTTTTAATTCATTTGAAGTTTGTGACTCATTCCCTTTTTTGATATCATTAATAACTTCATTATTCGACTCTTCAGGGACAGTAGAGGCACGTTCTTCTCGCAAATTATCTTTTTCTGAAATAATAATTTTAGTTAACATTTGATCCTAATAGTATATATGTTATAAATGCGTACCCATTTTCGAACAATCAGCTCCTAATTGATCTGGATGGTCGTCTTTTTCATTTTTAACAGTTTTAATCACTTCGTTATTCAATTCTTCAGGGGCAATAGAGGCATGGTCGCCTTGCAATTTATCTTTTTCTGAAATGATAATTTTAATTAACATTTGAGCCTGATGGTCTATATGTTGTAATACATACCCAATTTCGAACAATCAGCTCCTAATAGGTTTTGGTCTTTTTCATTTTTAACATTTTTGATCATTTCATTATTCAACTCTTCAGGGACAGTAGAGGCACGGTCTTCTTGCAATTTATCTTTTTCTACAATAATCACTTTAATCAACATTTGAACCTAATAATATATACGTTATAATGCATACCTAATTTCGAGCACTCAGCTTCTAACAGATCTGGATGGTCGTCTTTTTCATTTTTAACAGTTTTAATCATTTCATTATTCAATTCTTCAGGGGCAATGGAGACATGGTCGTCTTGCAATTTATCTTTTTCTGAAATGATAATTTTAATAAACATTTAAATCTAATGGTATATACATTATAAATGCATACCCAATTTCGAACACTCAGCTTCTAATAGGTCTGGATGGTCGTATTTTCCTCTTTTAACATTTTTAATAATTTCATTATTCAACTCTTCAGAAATAGTAGAAGCACAGTCTTCTTGCAATTTATGTTTTTCTGAAATAATATTTTTGATTAACATTTCATTCTAATGGTATATATATTATAAATGCATACTCAGTTTTGAAGAATCATCCTCTAATAAATTTGTATGGTCGTCTTTTTCTTTCTTAACATTTTCAACAATTTCATTATTCAACTCTTCAGGGACAGTAGAACCACGGTCTTCTTGCAATTTATCTTCTTCTGAAACAATAATTTTTATTAACTTGCTTAATTTTTGTGGTTAATAGTACATGTTTTATAAATATATACCAAATTTCGAACAATTCGCTTCTAATACGTGTGTATCATCGTCTTCATTTTCAATTGCATTAATTAATTCTTCAGTCAACTCATCAGGGATAATAGGGGAAGGACGATTGTCTTTGAACTTATTTTTTTCTGAAACAGTAAGTTTGATTAACATTTTGTGCCTAATAATATATATTTTATAAATGCATACCGAATTTCGAACAATCAGCTCCTAATAGACGTAAATAATGAATTGCATCGTGTACAGGGACGTACGCTCTCAGGGACATTGTTCCGCGCCATCCTACCATTTGCAACTTTAATGGTTTTTCTGTCCCTTCTTCTTCATACACAAGTATGCAACTTCCAGTTGCTGAAATGATATATGAAACAAATTTTGTAATAAAATTTTCATTTCGTGCCTATTTCAATGCCTAAAAGTATATTACCAAAGTCTTGTAATCGTTCCTGTGTTTCTGTATGAAGCTTCACGATTTCAGGTGGTGTATGTGGATTATTATTTTGTAATAACATTATTAGATCATCTTTAGATATTTTAATTTTTCTAGCATCTCCAATATATTTAATGATAATTTGTATTCCTTCCTGTGCGAGTCTAAATGGACAATCCATATTTTTATTGTCACAGCGTACAAATGATTTTACACCAGTATTTATTAGTTTTATTTGATCTTCATTAGACAGTACAACGTTACGAATTTCGGGAGATGTGTAATAAATGTTTTTCTTTTTCCTACCAAGACATCGTACCAACAAACATCGAGGATCCAAATCATCAGATATGTTATAAAAATTTCTAAAAATTTCGATATTAAGAATTAATGAAATAAACGAAAAATTAAAAAATATCTCTACCTACTTAATAGACAACCACACATCTTCCTTATCGTCTTTGAAGAAAACAAATGGATCTTCCTTATACCCAGCAGCGATTCTTCTACGTTTTCTTCTGGTTTCTCGTAATCTGTTCATATCGTCGAATGATCTTTTCCCATGTACATTCTTCTTTGTATCTTGTTCCAAACCTAATTCCTTTTCCGTAGCCTCATCTTTCATATCTGGCCCGCGTTCCCATGGTAGGAGATTTATTTTTTCCAAAACGGCCACAAAAAAACCTCCTGTGTCTTGATGATGTGGTAATATTCTCATACTACATTATCAATGCATTATTAATATATGATTAAACTAATAATAATCTTAACAAGTAAATCAGTTTCTGTTTACCATCGTTCAAAGTGAAATTTTTCTGCATCCTCAGGTTTTGGTGGAAACATTTTAGGATGAACTTGTGTTTGCCATTGTTCAGGTACATCTTCCCATGATTCATAATATTGTAAATCCTTTGATGCTGGTAACCAATGTGATATGCCTAAAATATATGTTATTAAATGTATGATATAAAAATTTATTTGTGCAATATAATATACAATGTATAATACCTGGATCGCACACTAATCCAGGTACTAAATCTCTACAAGAAACTAATTGAACTGAATCTTGAGTTTCAACAAGAAGCCTATGGAGTACAGCTTCATTTTCTATTGGATTTAGAGAGCAGGTGGAATATACCATTCTCCCTCCTACTGCTAAAAGTTCTAAGCCTCTTCTTGCTATTCTATACTGAATTCTTTAAATTCACAGATATAAGTCATTTTTATCAATCAAATTATAAAAGTAATGGGCAATCAGGGAAAAGTAATATTTACCCATGGAGATTGTTACCATTTGCAGGACTCCACTTACACCAAATATCAGGATTTTTTCTCATTGTACCATCACCACTACATGGTACATCTGCAAGTATTCTATCAAATCTATAATAAAATGTAAACATTGTAAAATCTTTATAAATAGGAATTTTTATTAATAGAAATCTTTAAAAATTTGCTTCATGTATTGTACTGACTTTAATTGCTCTTTTGTACCATCTGGCTTAGTAGTAGTGAAATTTGGCAATACTGAGGCATCATGATTTGTAATTAAAATAATTGGACTGTTTAATCTCTTTGCTTGATGTACAAGCATATAGCAACGATTATTGTCAAGATCATTAGCTATTACAAAACCCTCTGTAAAAAGATAAATGCTAATAAAGTTTACATAAATTGTTTGTAAATATTACTAATAACAATCAAAATTTCATTATTGCCTGGAAGTGCACTAGTTTCTTCACAATGTATCATTTCAATGAGTTGAGCTGTTTTTGACCCTGGTGCTGCACACATATCTAAAACCTATATAAAATAATTTTTTTATAAGATCATAGTTGAATTTAATTACTATTTCATTATTATTTTATTAAACCGATATACCTTATGGGTAGGTTTTACATCCAATACTAAAGGTGGCACCATGCTAACCACCTCTTGTCTACTGATGTTTCCACTTTCTGTTTCAACAATTAAAAAATTATGTAATCTAAAATATGCTTCAGATCTTCTAATATCTTTTCTAGTTAATTGTAATTGCCAAGCTAATCCATCAGGATAAAATGGTAAGCACTGCAATATATCCTTAGCATCTTCACTATTTTCTGAATCATCTTCCATATTTGTATTTAAGATTTCCTTAAAGAAATCTCCTTTAATAGTTTCAATCAATGCCTTAGCTTCTATCTTTGAGCCTGTGATTCTAAATGCCACTGGAAGGTTCTTTCTCATTGTATTGATAAAAGAATCCCATTGTTCTTCGGGTACAATTTTCTGGGTTTTGTAATAATTTTCAAAATCCTTATTTTCTCTGATAATGTCTGCATAATTATGGTGTGGAGTTGTATCCCACTCGTTCTTTTTCTGTATAATTCATAAAAATTTTATACAATGTTCATATAAAAAGAATTCTTCTTGACAATTAAACACTAATTATTTTCAAAATGTACGATTTATAAACTTTGTATATAATATAAAATGAACATAACCGTAAATCGCAGCCGGTGTCATTTTTTCAACGATTAAATTCGTACCTTTTGTTTTTCACGACGTTTTTCTGCAAAATTTTTTTTTGGCTTATGCCTCCGTCCTTTTCCCATTATTATATTCAAAAAGTTGTACACTATTACCAATCACTCAACACGTGCTCAATAAGAAGCAACAAATAATGACAAGATTACTACCGTTTCTAAAAGCACAGAAAACTCATGTAGGACGTTTTTGCTTTAACAACCTTCAGATGGCGCATCTTATGCTTCACAGACGAGATATAGTGTAGCACACAAACCTAAAAATCTTATGGACTTTGCATCATGTAAAATGAAATACCGATGTTTAAAAAAATTACATTTATTTTGCCATATATAATTTGCAGCGATGAATTTAAATATTATATTCAGCATAATCGTTAAAGCCAAAAAAATTACCAAATGTAAAAGAATACTATTTTATTCCATTCATAGAAATTTCGTCTCGTATAACTAACAAGAATTTAAGTCTTTATGTTTTTGATTACATCATAATGGAAATGATTAATATAATATCTAATTAAATGCTATAAAAACATTGTAATGCAGTCATATATAAAGAAATAACATTATTGAAGTTAGTTAATTTATGTATTTAACGAATAACTGTTTAATAACAGTATACTGTATAATTCATTAGAAAGTGATAGTAAGATAAGTGTACAATGTAAGAAGTTTTTAGTTTAATATTCATAGTGTAAAGTATACAATACGAAACTTAATAATAATAGAGAGGTGGTAATAATAGTTTAAATTCATGATGTTTATACAATATTTGTTTTGTTAAAATATTTGTTAAAACAAATATACAGATTATATTTCAGGAATTAACAAATAATGTTTGATACATTAACAGTTTAATTTTTGCAGGCACACTGATGTGATTTAAATTATGGTACTTTATGCCTAATAAGCGTTTGTTTTTAGAACTTATATTCATTTCAGTAAAATGATCAGCAGATTCTTTATATACAAAATTGATTATGATTATATTAAAGAACAAGTCCCTGATACAATGAATCAGTTTCTGGAGATTCCATTCTATTTCTTAAGTGTTCTAATGTATTAGCTAAATGTTTCTGAATTTGTTCTGTTTCTTCACTAACTTCTAAGTTTGGGAGTTCTTCCCTAATTTTTGCGATCACTTGATTTAAAATATGAACAGTGAACTAAAAAAAAAAGAGATTACTATTAAGTTAAATATGTTAATAAAAGCAACCGATAAGTAAATCTTACCGTAGTATTGCCTTTCTCATAGAAATAAATATAATGATTTAACAATTCTACATAAAGTTGTACTTGAACTGAAGTATCCATGCATTGACTTGCGATTCTGACACCTTTTCTCAAACAATCCAATACTTTATTTCCATCTTGCATCTAAAATAATTGTCTAAATTGGTTCTATTTTTAAATTATATTATCATATAATACTATTTAAATATTATTAACAAAGAAATAACAGTCACTTCTTTTCCAGTTGCTAACGATTTTCCAGACCAAAATATATGAGAGCAGGTAGCAATTCCTCTGCATTGATCTGGTTTTCTTAGTAATTTGCTGGCATATAAAGCACATTGATTGCGTATTGGTTCCGCATTTTCTTCACTAAAGCAACTCATTTGTTCAAATGTAGCAATAATCAATGTAATAGCTGCTAATTGTGCCTTAGAATCACTTATTTCATCTTCATATATTGAAAATGCTTGACTCATAAATTCATAAGCCACCACTTCAAAATTGTCAAAACGAATTTCTCCTATAGCTATTGCACCTTGAAGAAATAGTCTTAGTGGCAATTCAGCCAGTTCAGCCTTCATTAAAGCAGTAATAGTTGCATGGCAAAATTGAAAAATCTTTTGACATTTTTTCTGCCACATCTCATCCTACAAGAAAAAGCAACTAAGACAATTCTTTAAAAATGTTACAACAAATTAATAATTTACTAACTTGATCTTTTAATCCTTTATATGTAAAAGCAAGCTGATAAGCCTGAAAGACAATTGGTGGTAGAGTATATTTTATTCTTTTATTTCCCCCAGCATTAAATTGCTTCCTCGCAGCACTTAATATCATATATTGTTGGTCAGCTGTTTCAGACTTAAAATGATGTATCAGCCTACCAAGAAGACCCTGTTCTTCTGCAAAATCTTCAGGGTCTTCTTCTATATTGGGTTGATCTAACTGGTCTTGCACCAATGGAGACACCATAGAAAGAATTGCATCTACTTGTTCTTGAGTTGGTATTAAAGTCTCGTTTTCTAAAATATTTGTTATTATATAAATAGCCAACAACTTTCTGCCTTCATAATCAAAGTAATCTAACAATGGAGCAAAATGTTCGAGCTTCAAAACTGTTAATATGTTTTTATAGTTATCTATCGGAATTTTCATTAGTCTCACTAATTCTCTTGATACAGCACTATTATACTCGAGTCTAAAAATATATTAAATTTATTATATATTCACTTATATATAACTTTAATTATTTTAACGTATACATACTTATCTACATTTTGTTTTTGGAATATTTGAACAGTTGTTAACAAAACTTTATCCACATAGTTTACTCTATCAGGATAACATTTGTGTGCCAAATTAATGAGGGCTACCTGAAGGGAAACTATATCCTCTGGAGGCATATCTTGCCTGGTCTGAAAATAATAATCATTAATAATAATTAACAGTAATTAACATGTTAATAACTATTATGAAAAATATTTCTCAGACTTAAACTATATGAGTAAGAATGCACTGATAAATATTAATCATATTAGAATCAAATTTGTGTAGTACCTGATCATCACAGAAATGGTAAATTAATGATAAATTAAACTAAGTACAGTTAAATTAACAATGTACATTTTTTTTTTTTCATAAATTGTACAAACCTGTATAATTATGGCTATCTGATCACTGAAAACATCAAAAAGTTTGACATCTTGTGGAATTCCTGGTACTTGATTAGGACTTCCTGGCCCCCCTACACCATCTGATCTTTGACTAAATGCTGCAAGACGGTCTATTAATGAAATAATTATATTTTTTACATTTACACCATTCTGCAACTCAGCACAAGCCTTCAAAAATGCATTTAATGTTTGGAGATGAAATTCATCAGGAAAAACCTAAATAAAAGTACGAATGAATTATTTATGACATAATTACAATTGTAACTTACAACATTTCTAATTATTTTATTTACTTGAATTATGCACTCCATAAGATATTCCTGTGCAATTGCATCTCTGCAACTGACTACTTGTTCTAAGATTCCTGGTAAAACAAGCTAAAAACCATTGTTATTAGCCGATTATTTTTTAAAACTCAATAAGCTAAATATATTTAAGATCCACCTTTTTATATTTCTCTAAAGTAACTGATTCCAACTGACTAAGTCGTACAAGATTAGTTCCTACTAGAATTCTAAGTTCTTCTCTTTCTCTTTCTCTTCTCTCCCTGTCTCTAGTATGACCTTGATGTTGCATGCGTACCCACAATTTATTCATTTCAGCAAAATTCATCAAGACAAAGTCTATACTATCACGAACCTAAAAATTAACACATGCCATAATTTTGTTTCTCTTTTACACTTTCCATTTTGCATACATACACTTCCATCTTCATCATCTTCAGCAACATCTGGTAAAATATTACGAGTGCATTGTAATAAGTAATTTCTTAAAAAAAGACCTCTTAAAGGATGCTGAACACCCCTACACATTTCCACCAAATCTCTTAGTAAATCTCTTTTTAAACCAGGTGTTGTTTTTATATATACTAATCCAACTGTGATAAGTAGATACCTGCAAGATTACATGTATTATCAAGCTATCATAATTAATAATATATGGATTACAAATGGTATGGAACATACATATTATCAATATATTTTTCTAACAAACTTACAGTCTAGGCACAATATTACCAACATACTGTACTAATTCATATAAATCTGTAACTTTTCTTCCTTTTTGAAATTCATCTAATAAATAAAGTTCTAAATGCCTTAGTTCATCAGTAATAGCCATGTCTAAGATTAAATATAAGAGAAAATACAAATAATTATAAAAATATTATTAAATATATTTTGTCATGAGAATTATTTAATTATTTCAAGTTAGTAAGGATACATAATTCGTAGTAACTCTTTGGACTTAAAAGAGAAGTTCTAAGTTCCCCCAACATTGTAGATGCATGTTTTAATGCATCCATTAATTTTGATTTGTCCAAACAGTGTTTCATTTGGAAAGCTTGCACTTTAACCACACCAATTGCATCTTCAAGTAGTTTTTCTTGCTCTTCCATGCCCGTTATAGCAGGTGTCATTGGCTGCGAGAAAAATAAAGATACCTACCAGGAACACCAGGTAGTACCATGCTAGGTAAGCCATTCAATGCAAGCATGCACTATTTTATGCTTCCATGGTAGAAAAAAGCAAAGGGAAATTATTATACTACATTACAACTATGAAACTAAGTCATTAATGAATATAAAAAGAAAGAATTATATAAATTATGCATAAAGCAAAAATCTACCTATGTTACAATGCATTTATAATAAATATATACAATAATTAAAACAATCCCGAAATTATAATTTTCAAGTTTTACTATTTTTGATATAATATTTGGTTAAAGATAAAGGTTATAATTTTAGTGAAATACCACTGAACAAAAGAGTATACAATATCGAAACTGCTTTCTTATCGTATACGATAAAAGGTAAAAGAAATATCAGCCGAGCAGTAACTATTCGTTAAATTGTTAAACATAAACATCGAAATTTTTACGACAGTTAACCTTCATGACATTAAGATAATTTTATCAAGGATAATTCCTTAGATTTTTGTTCAAATTCAATTAGTAAATAATTAATTGCTTTCACAAGCAAAGGTTCAACATGCTTTTTGAAATTCAATTCATAATTACCATCTTTTTCCCTTAACAAAAACTGCACACTTATTTCATGAACTTCAAACACCTACCACTGAAAATGACACGATCTATATAATTACAATACTTACAAGGAGAGTGCAAGTCCTTCAGGTCACCGATTTAGTTGAAACTTTGCAGGTTTGTAGACTTCGTCATGCAGTTGAAGAATGTATATCATTATAGTCGCAATTACTCAATAGCTTTTGAGATATTTATGATTAAAGTTTTATAACACACCTAACTACAGACTTATTTCCTATCCCCTACAATTGGAGCTATAGGTTAACGGCAACATTCGAAAATTCCTACGCTGAAGGTCTGGGGTTTGATTCTTCCGTCCGTAATTGATATTTTCTTTCTCAATCTATTTTTATTTTGTGTTCATTTTTCGCCTATGGAAACATTGTAAATAAACAATCGTCAATGAAATTTCTTAATAAAAAAATTTTTTCTTTACGAATTCTCTAGATAGTATATATTTATTACAAAATAATAAGAATATTATACAAGAAAAATACTTTTCTATAGCAATCTTATTTATTACAAGAAATACAAAACCTATCGCTCAGGTAAGTATTAATTATTAAATTAAATATTGTATAAGAATGTTGCCTATAATTCCAACTTTGCTG